TTAATAATGTTTTACTATTTTTATTTATTTCCCCTATTAAAATGCTTTATAGTATTTTAATAGGGGTATTTAATATAATATTTTTAATTAAGCGGTTATTTTTTATTTCCGCCCCCTATTATTTTACCTTTTTAAATAAATCGGTTAATATATAAAACTTTATTATAAATATAAATTAAATTATAATATTTTTTACTTTATATAAAAGTAAAAAGTTTAATATTATAAAAATTTATATTTTTATTTAATTACTTTTTTAATAGGTTTTTATTATTAATATAATAATTATTTATAATATAGGTTTTAATTATAGGTTTTTTTTAAATTAATTTATAGGTTTAAATATATTTTTTTATTATAATAATAATATTTTACTATATTTTTATTTTTATATTTTTATTTTATATACTTTTAATATATTTAATTATTAATTAATTTATAAGTTATAATATTAAAGCTATAATAATTTTAAAATAATATTTAACCTATTTAATAATTATATATATAATGTTAAGGTTTTTATAAAATTTCCTAATATATATTATATTATATATTATTTAAAAATTACTTTTACTTTAATATTATTTATAAAGTATAATATTTTTAATTATATTATAATTATAATTAATATTTTATAAGTTTATATATATTTTATATTTATAAAGCTTTATAATAAATATTTTAAATTAATAAAAATTTAATATTTAATTATTATTTTATTATATAATTTAATTAAAGTATTAAAATAAAGGGATATATTAAAGCTTATTAATTTAATATATAAATTTATTTATTTATTTTTAGTTTTTTTTTTATTATATCCTTAATTATAACTTTTATTAAAGGTTATATATTTTTTACTTTATTTTTATTTAAGTATTTAAATAGTAATATTTAATTATAGTTTTACTTTACCTTTATTATTAATAGGTAAAATAAAGTAAAGTATTTTATACCTTTATAATATAAATATAACTTTAATAATTATTTTTTTATCTTTTCCTTATTTATTAAAGGTAATTTAAATTGCTTAATATAAATTTTATTTAATTATATTAAGTTACCTATATTTTATTTAATTAATATTATTAAAATATATATTAAGCAATTTATTTATATTAAATAAAAGGAATACTCCTTTTAAAACTTAAAGTTTATTAAGTTATTAAAAAAGTTATATAATAATTATATTTATTTTATTATATTATTCCCTTTTAATTAATTTATTTATAAAATAAAAGCCTTTTATAATTTAATATTAACTTTAACTTTTAACCCCTTTATTTATTATTTATTTAATTATTTACTTTCTTTTATTAATTTAATAAATTTAAAAATAAAGTTAATATAAGGTAAATCTTTTTATTTTAAACTTTTAAATTTTTATATTACTTTTATATATATATTAATAATAATATATAAATTATTTAACGTTTTAAATAAATTTTTTTAATTATTTATTACTTTTTTAACCTATTATTAAACTTAAATATATATAGCTTTAAATAGCTTAAAGTATATATATAAGATTTTATTAAATTTATTAAAAAATACCCTTTGGTTTAATATTAAATTTAATTATATTTTTAATTGTTAAATTATATATTTAGCTTATTATTTATTTAAATTTAATTTTAATTTATTAAATATTAAAGGTTCCCCTTTTTGGTTTTTTTTATATTTAATAATATATTATTAATAATTTAACATTAATATTATAATATTAAATCTTTATATAATAGATAAATTTAATATAATTTTTAAATTTATTTAAAAAGTTAATAATAAAGGAAAAGGGTTTAATAAGGTTAAAAGGATTATAATTAATATTAAAATTTAAATTATTATTAATTAAGTTCTTTTAAATAAGGTTTAAAATATTAATAAAGTAATAATTTATTAATTATTATTTATTTATATTTAAATAAATATTACTATTTATTATTATAAATTCCTTTTAATATTTTTTATTATTTAGAATTTATTTATTAATATAATCCTTAAAGTTAAAACTTTAATATAGGTTTACTTTATTATATTTATTTATTATTATATTAAATTTTAATATACTTTATATTTAATATCTTTTCGTTTAAATTTCTTTATTAATATATTTATATTTTCCTTTAAAGTAATAGTTTAAAATATTATATCTATTATATAAAGTAATAATTATTAAAAAAGCTATTAAAATTATTGAAAAATATTTATAAATCTTTATAATATAACGCATCTTCCATTTAACTTGGCCACCCAATTAACCTGGCTACATTTTTAACCTTCGTACGCATATAAAAAAAATCCCTTATTTTTCCACCAATAATTATAAAAACCCTTCGTAAAAAAAGCAACCTATAGCTTACACTCCAAACTATTAAACGAAACCTAAAATTATTTATCTAATACGTTATTATTATTTATAATATTTTTTATATAATATTTACCCTTTAAATAAAAGGTTTTAAATTAATAAATAAAATATTACCTTTAAAAGCTTAATTAACTTTAAATAAAAAATAATCAATTATATAATATATTTTTAATTTTATAATAAAATTATTTTCGCTTTTATATAGTTATATAAAAGATATAGCTAATTAATTAATAATATTATAGGGTTAAAAGCTAATTAAAAAAAATTAAACGTTAAACTTTATATAATAAACTTTAAATATCTAAATATATTTTAATTAAAGAATTAATTATTAATAGGTATTAAACGAAAATCCAATTAAATATTATATTTAGTTTATTTTTATATAAAAAATAATAAATAAAAATAGTATTTAAAAAAAAATATTTATAACTTTAATAAAACTAGGTTTATAATAAGTAAAATTATATTTAAAATAATTATAATTTTAATTAAATATAAATAAAAACTATAAGCTATTTAATTAAGCAATTTAAAATAGTTTATAATTATTTAAATAATTTTATTATATATTATTTTAATAAAGAAAAATTACTTTATACTTTAATATAAAAATAATAATATATTAAATAATTAAAAGATTATAATTATAAAAAATAATTAAATAATAAATAAATAAGCTATAAATTAAATTAAGCATTTTAATAAATATATAAAGCTTTATATAAAAGGATATTATTACTTTTTTTTCTTTAATAGTTATAAAAGCTATTATTTATATAAATTTAAATTATATTATAAAAAAAATAATATTATTACCTTTTATATATTTCCCTATTCCTTTTATTACTTTTAACTATTTAATATTAAGGTATTTAACCCTTTAAAATAATTATATAAAAAGTAAATTAAAAGCTTTATATAAATATATATTACTTATATTTAAAAGGAAAATTTTATAACTATATTTTTTTATATATTTAATAAAGCAATTATTTTAAATAATATATAAAAGGGATTTAAAGGAGCAGGTTTAATATTATATAATTTAAATTATATTATTAACCAGTTAAATTATTTAATTATATTTTAAATTAATCCTTTATTTCCAATATTATTTAATCTTTATATAATTATAACTTTAAATAATTTAATTAAAGTTAATTCCCTTTTTAAATATATTAAATAAAGGATTATATAATATTAAAATAGCTTTCCTATATTTATTATTAAAAGGTTAGGTTAAATTATATATAATATAATTAATATTATATATTATTTTATATTATTAAAGGGAAAGGTTAAAAGCTTTTATAAAATAAATTATAAGTTTAATAAACATTACTATATAAAAAGAATTAAATTATAAAGTAAAGGATCTTTTATTATTAAAGATATTAAGGATTAAATAAAGGTATAGGGTATTTTTAAAGCAAAAAATTACATCGTACGTTAAGGTAGTTGTTATATAAGGAAGAAGGAAACTTACGCCTAGCATTATAGGGCTTACGGTAAACCTAACTATAATGTATAAACTTGTAAAAATGTTATAAAAACATTTAGCAATTTAGATTTAAATTAGTTTAAGTTAATCGTATAAATAGTTATTAAGATATTTTTAAATGTATATATAAAGGTTAAAAATGTGGCCAGGTTAAGTGGGAGATACGTTATCTCTTAAAATTATAATATTTAAATTTAAGTTTTATAAAGCTATTATAATTATTAAATAATTATTAATAATATTAATAATTATATACCTATATATAGGAAGTTTTGCTAAAGTAAAAATATTAAAGGTTAAAGGTCTTAATTTTATAATATTCCAAAGGTAAATTTAAAGTATTTATATAAACTAATCCTTAAAAAAGGATGTTACCTATTTTTTAAATATAATAAACTATTATAATATTACTTAGCTATAGTTTTATATATTTATTCTATTATTATATAAGGAAGGAAGTTCTAATTTTTGCCCCTTATTCCCTTTCTTAGCGTTATATATAATGTTCCTTAGTCCATGCTATATATTGGAAATTAGGCTTCCTTGGTTCCGTGATAGGGACGGTGTTTTAGGATAGCGTTCTAGCAATTGCCCCCTCATAAATTAATTGATAACGTTCTCATTGTCTCTACGTATATGTTAAAGTCCTGGTAGACCAATAGAAACAAAATCCCAAACCTTAAACAGCGGTTTAAATAGCATCTCAGCCGGAGCCAAACAAATCGCATCCTCAGGACAGCGTCCGGGGGTAGCATTCCAACCCAGATAACATTTGTAGACAACATCCTCAACTAGAAGGTATCCGCAAACAACGTCGCAGGCAATGTCTGCAGACCAATGGTACACCCAATGATGTCCATAGAATAGTGAAAGATTGCAATGATAACGAAAACGTGTGTCGATTATAATGCTTTCCGTCTCCATGTGTATATTTAGGTCCTGGTAGACCAGCAGAAAATGACGACACGAAATGAACAGACAAAGTCCCGACGAAGTTGCAGGTCTTTCGTCTCTACACAGAATCATTGGATGACAAAGCAACAATAAACGGCAATGTAATAAGTACTATGTAGTATGTAGTGTACACAACGTACGTACACTACTAGGATTCGTAGGGAACGCGAAGCACTACGCTAACATTGTTAGTAAGTACGGACTGGGATTCTACGCACGCGAACCTATTCGGTTAACCTTCTCCAGTATTATGCAGATGCTACGTTAGCTGCTCTAACTTGTGACGGGCTTAGTGTAACTCCATTTGATCCATCTAGCTTTCGCGTCACTCTCGGCATGAAGCAGCATCAATTCTACGTGGGTCATCCGCCCGTTGCAATGAGCGTCCACGGCTCCTGGCACCCTCATCCTTGGGCCATGCTTCCTTCATCGCCGTGTTTGTCTCGCCCCTAAACAACATATCCACCTTGTCTAGGCGAGATAGCCCAGTGCCCTCGCAAGGCGCGCGCACGCCAAAACCTCTGTTTCAGAGTCTTTGCATCAGCAACTTGTCCAAGATGTCGTCCTCTGCGCCACGTACGAAGAACCCAGTCCCGGACTGGATCCAAGTCCCGTATCCGCACGTGGGAGAATGCATTATCTCCTTCCCACGAAAGCATATCCTCCTCGTTACAATCAACCGCCCACAGTTCATGAACTGTCTACCCGTCGAGACCACGATCGAATTAGGTACTCTGTGGAAATGGTATGATAGCGAACCAGAGCTGCGGGCAGCCGTTTTTACTGGCGCAGGCGAACGCGCTTTCTGTGCTGGCATGGATTTGAAACAGCGGCTGGACATCCTCAACACGAACGACGTTGCGCACGAATACCCTCACGGTGGATTTGGTGGTATGACGAACCGAACGGGCAAGAAGCCAATCATCATTGCTTGCAATGGTCATGCGCATGGTAGGAGTCAAGCACACATATGGATAGCGCTTGGTGTATGTATATGGGGGCTTACATGATATGAACAGGTGGTGGCATGGAGATTGTCTTGAATGCCGACGTAATATTTGCCTCGCCAAATGCCGATTTCCGTCTCCCCGAGGTCCTCCGTGGCGTGTCAGCCCTCGCTGGCGCACTCCCAAGATGCAGTAAGTCTCGATGCCACATTGTCTGGGGCATGGGAACCCCACTCTCTAGAAAGAAAAGATTAAGCCCCTTATTTTCCATCTTGACCCAATACCCCATAGATATGCAGCATTGTGATAGCTAACCTCGATTACTACAGTGGTACTCTTTGGAAACCATCGAACCATGGACCTGGTGCTAACTGGTCGAACGCTGACATTGAAAGAGGCTGTAGAATGGGGCCTGGTGAAGGAGGTAGTGCCACAGGATAAGTTGCTGGAACGGGCGATCGACTATGCGGACGAGATAGCGGCGTTGTGTCCTGATAGCGTCATTATCTCGCGTCTAGCTGCGCGTGAGGCCTGGGAAACCGGCATCAGCAGAGCCACAATGAGGGGTCAGGAACTTTGGGCGGAGAATATGCTGAAAAGCAAGAATGCCGCCGAGGGCCTTGCAGCTTACAGAGAAAAAAGGAAGCCAAAGTGGTATCCGTCGCATTTATAGTCAAAATCCACGTCCCACTTGTTGTAGACTGAAGAGCGAGCATTGAATTAACGGCGATCACAATGAAAATAATGATAATAGTATTTGGACTTTGAAGTCGCTTCCTGCCGTCATGCTACTTATGCTACTACAACTTGCTACTCTGCCGTTTGATCTTGGCGTAGCCGTTCGAAAGTGCTACTCTACCGTCACCTTTCACGATGGTTTCGAAAACGTAGTTGTCGAATCGACCGTCGGACGTAGTCTTCCAGATCCATGTCTCCAGCTCATCACCGGGGTAGACAACGCTCTTGAACCTTGCACCAAACGCTTTGAACCTCGTGGGGTCCGAACCACCCACCCCTCTTAGCAATCCATGCGCCACAATATTCCATGTGCCAAGGCCCTGCAAAATAGCCCCTTGGAAGCCCGCGCGCTTCCCAAAGTCATCGTCTGCGTGCATTGGGTTGTAATCGCCGCACAACCGATATAGAAGCGCCGTCTCCGGTGTCGTTTTATATGTGTGTACAGCGTCTGGCTGACGCGCGGGCATCTTAATAGCAGGCTTGCTTGGGCCCTTGGGACCTCCGTACCCGCCCTGACCCATGCCGAATGCCGTGCTGGTCATTCTGACGTAGACCGTTCCAGTCTTAACATCGATTAATTCGTGCTCCTGCTCAGAGATCATCGCACCTCCTTTGTCGTATGCCCCGACAATCTTGCTATGTATCTCTAGGTCTAGACCTTCCGAGCTTGTCGGGACTGGCCTCAATATCTCTATGCCTCGCTCGCCATCCACGGAGCGTTGCGCATCAAATGGTGGCATGCCCGGTACGGACTCTGATGTAGTGCGCGCCACAAAGTCGAACACATCTTGATCTGTTTGTTTGAAAGCTAGATTGATGGGGAACGTCGGGAACGCGGCGAAGCGCGGGTGTAGCTCATAGAGAAGGTGCTTCTCATCGGCCTGGGCACCAATTGCGTTCGCCTGAGGCCAGTCGTCCAATATTAGCAAAATAATATCGAGGAATCAGGAATAACACCGCTATCTTCCACGTTCTCAGATGGGCAATACGAAATGGTTGGGGCAAAACTAGGCCGTAGGATTTCACGTACAAAGAGCAAAACGTCACGGCGGTTATACGCGCATTTAATCGGACGAAACTTGTGTCCGATAGCTTTGCGAAAGTCGACGTTATCATAACGGCCGTCGCTTCGCTTTACAGGTATATCCTCAACACCCATATTATCTTGCGGTGTAATGATAATGTAGGACGTATATAAATATGAGACTAGTCCAAGCTCACCGGGCCCCCAAGATGGTGAGATAACGGTGAGACTCAGCGAAACTTTACTACCAATCTCGCTCAAATGGGTTATTTATGCCCGAAGATATTCTTGGCATTGCCCTCTCTCATATGAGTTACTGCGTCCCACAAAGGAAGCCAACCTCGGCAAGACCGCTGCACAGGATGTCCCGCTCTAGTGGCTCCACTAACACTAGGTAGGCACTCTAACCGAAGCATGGCACATACAGTAAGTAGCTCCTCACACATTCAGGGGTATGGGATTACACACACTTACCAACTGTTACACACGTACAAGCTGAACATGCAGTTCGCCTTGCGCTTCGGCCGTACGAAAGGCCATTGCAGGCTGTTCATGATCTTCAGAGACATGCAGGAAATATTGGAAAGTGAGGTTATACAGACCTCGCTTTATGAAACAAGCCCATGAGACTAGGTTCGGTAGACCATAGAGTTGAGTTAAGCCATCGAGGCCAAGAAGGAATTGGTTGGTCAAGGACTCATGTAGGCCTAGTTGATCATTGTAATCTGAACAGCTCCAGTTCTAAGCCCAGTCTCCTGCGCTTGTCATACCAACCTACAACGGTTAACCAAAGAAAATCAAACCCCCAAAAAGGGCAGCCTTGGGCATTTGAACATGTATATCAAAATTGCTATCTATACACGCTCATCTAACACATGATTCATGATCAGTGGCGATATTGTCCACATAAGTATAAACCTTCAATTATCTACTATTGGCTTCCAGGGCTTTCTAATAGCTAGGGGGTTAGGAATGAACCGTAACTCACCTGCAAACACTCCATTGCATGTAAACACGGCAAAGATATAAATTTTAATAGACGAAAATATGCCACGTACGACCATAGGAGCTGGAGAACGCGGGGTTCCGTCCGCTTCCCCATAGCTAAACCAGATACCGGTACCGCTAGATTAGTAGTTGGGTCGTTGACGACCAGCGAATCCCTGGTGTTGTACGTTTTTGCCTCTTATTAGACTTCTTTTTTGTCTTTCCCAGTACACTTTCTTAGCACGTGTGAGGACTGAAAGTGATTGATTCATGTGGAATGGAATTAGCATCCACTGTAATGGGACAAGGCATATTCTGTATAAGCCGGAGCTGAAGTCTCATTCGGGTCAATTATACGCAATGTCAATTCCCTGGCCCTCTGTCTCCACTCCAGTTAGCCGTATATACCGAGACAGAAACTGAGCTACATGTTTGATTGATTGATTGATGGTGTTTAATGTTGTGAGGGTATGCTACGTAGTAGCTTACCCAAGCCTCCGCAAGGGCATAGGGACGTGATACGCTGTTCACTATTTGAACTATTTAATATGTATATATAGTAGCTATAGGTGTTAATTTTTCGCTTTTTAAGTGTGTTAGGTTATAATTCCGTGTTTATTCCGTTTAGGACTTCCATGCTTTATGTATTCGGTTTATCCTTTATTTAAGGATTAGTTATAGGAGACCTATCGATTTAAGGTTTTATTTTGTGGTTTAGGGTATAAGCTTAGTAGTTTGGCTAGCTTCTTAGTTTATAGCCCTACTTTAAAGGTAATTTTAGGATAATAAAGATTGTTAAATAGGTAGGTGGTAGAATAATAAGTAATGTTTAAGGTATATTAATTTATTTTTGCTTTTAGATAGTTATTTAATATGTATTTCTATGGGTATTTGGGGGTATATTAATCTGTTTTTACTTTTATAGAATAGAAAAAATAGAAATAAATAATAGAAATAGAGGGTGGAAGGGGGGGTATAATAAAGCTATAAGTATAGCTCATATAGTAGGAGAGGGGAGATTATAGGGTTAAAAAGTGTTATTTATAATTTATATATAATATATTTTATTTTTTAAGGGGCTTTTTATTAAATGCGATACTTCTGGCAATGGTTAGGCTTATTTAGTATATAGTATTTATGGTATTGATGAAGACTATGGGTACTTAAGGGTACTTTTATTTTTATAGGATTAGGGGGTGTTTATTGTAAAATGTTATAAGCTTTTAAAAGGAAAGATTTTTATAAGTAATAGGGGGATTTAATTTTAAGCTTAGGGCTATATATAAGTAGGAGTTTAGGGAAAGGGTTTATATATATTTATGGGAGGGAGCTATTTTAGTAATGGTTTCCCTGTTTGTTTTGTTAGGTAGGTGTATAGTTATTATTTTCTTTTTGTTTAAAGTTGGGTATGCTTAACTTAGGAGTTCCAAATGCTTATAATAGGTTATAAAAGGATTTTATTTAAGATTAGGTATTTAAAAGTAAGATTAAGGTAGTAATTAATATATATATTTTAGGGTTATAGTGCTTTTTATAGTAATTTTTATTTTATTTATAAAAGGAGTTTAAAGTTTGTTTATAGTAGTATTATTAGGTCTTTTTGCTTTTAAATGTTGGTAAGGGGTATTTAATAATAGTTTAGGGTTGGGGCTTCCTTTTTTTTGTTGCTTTAGGTTAGGCTTAGGTTGGTAGCTTAGGAAAGGAGGTTTTAGTTTAAACGATTTTATTTTTAAGGTAGGTTATATTAGAGTTAATTATTTATAAATGTAAATAGCTTATAAATCTTTAGTTCTTTATTATTTTTATATTCTTTTAGGCTAGGTGCTTTATTTTGTTTTTAGTAATATATTTTTTATATTATAAATAGGATATAGATAGAGGAAAAGTATTTTATAGCTTTATAGAATTTTTAAAAGTCCGGAGGGTTTTAAAGGAGTTAGGTTAAGTAAGCTTTATGGTTTTAAGAGTTAATTAGTTCTAGTTTATGGAACCTTATAGGCTAGCTATTTTTTACCTACTTTTTACTATTTTGCCTTTTTTTTAACTTTAGTAGTTTAGGCTAATATACTTTCCTTTTTTTAAATCTTTTATAATAGATTAAATATATATAGGTTTTATTACTATAGTTTTATTAAAAGTTTAAACTTTAATATAAATAGTATAGCTTAACCTTTTTATAATTAAATTTATAATAGTATAACTTATAGTTATTATAGTTTAAAAGGTATATAAAGAGTTTATTAAAGATATTCCTTAAGAGCTTTAATATTTTAGGGCATTTTTTGGGCTTATAGTAAATGTTTATAGATTAATGTTTAATTAGTTAAATTATTTTAATGTTTTTTTCTACTTTGTTTTTAATTAATAGGTTATTTTATTATTATGCTTTTGTTATATTTTTAATTAATTGTTTAACTAGTGCTTTAATGCTTATAATTGTAGGGTTTATAAATTTTAAGTCTATTAGGCCCTTTTCTACTACTTCTTTTATAAATAAATTTATTTATTTTTTTTTTTTATATTTATATAACTTAAATACTATTTAAGTTTTATATTATACCCTTTTATTAATTTATATATTTATATAAAGGTATTTTATAAAGTTATAGGGGTATTCTTTTATATATTTTAAATTATTAATATATTATTTATATAAATTATTATTTTATATATAGGGAATAATTCAACCGCTTTTTATAGGCCCCGGAAGGCTTTAGCTTTTTTAGCATTAAAGATAACCCTTATAAAAGTTATTTTATTATTTCCTTTAAATACTTTATTTTTCCTTTTATAAATTATATAGCTATAATTTAACCCTTTATTTTTTTATAATTTATTAAAGAATATTATTATATTGAATATTAATTGTTTATTAAACTATTTTTTAAATTTTTTAATAGCTTTTTTTTTTATTTTTCCCTTTATAGGGTTAATATTAAAGCCCTTTAAGTATTTAGGCAGGTATAAAATTAGTTTTATTATTAGTTATAATAGTTTCCTTATTAGTTAAATGTTTAACTTTAAGTATTATTATTATTTAGCCCTTTTTTCTCTTTTAATTATTTTTATATTAGCTTATAATATTAGTGGGTATCCTTTTATAATGGTATATACCTTATATAAAAACCGGAATCTAGCTTTATTAAAAGTAATTTAAGCTGTTAAAAGGTTGCTATTTATAAATAGTATTGTATTAGGTTGCGTTTTTAAAATTGGTAGGACCTTTTTAACTACCTTTATTAATACTTTTTATATTAATTTAATATAACCCCTTAATTTAATGCTCGTTTTTACTGGGTATTTTAATGTTATATATATTAAGGGCTTAATTTTACCCTTATATTATACTTCGTATTTATAAAGTAATAAGGGAAATATTATTGTTTTAATTACTTTATATAAGGCTAAAGCTGGTAGTTCTTTTTTTATAATTATTAATACTTTAATATAATTAAATAGTTTTATAATAATTGTAGCTCTCTTTTTTATATAATATTTAAATAATAATTTCCGGTTAAATTAAACCTTAAGTTAATATAACGTTAAGCATGATTTTTAAATTACCTGCTATATTAATAATTTAGTATTTTCTTCTTTATAAAGTAGGATTAATATAATTATCTTAATTAAGGTATATATATTAGGATTATTTATATTTTTCCCTTTATTAAAATATATTACCTTTATCTTTTTAAAAGTAAAAGAGATCCTGTTTTTATTTTTATAGGATAGTATTTTATTTATTTTAACTTAAGTTAGCTTTATGCTTTTTTTTAATATATTTATAACTTTTAAAATTATTATATTATTTATATACTTTTATTTACTATTATTTTATTTTATTAGTTTAGTTATATAGATTATATATAATATTGGGGATTAGGGTAAGCTTTATAGGGTTTTATATTATTGCTTTTATATGTTTATAATATATTTTTCTAATTTTATTTTAATATTTTTTTAATTAGGAAGTTATTTATTAATTATAATACTTTATTTAACTATTCCTATTAGGCTATTTTTATTAATAGGCACCTTTATAATAATATATTAAATGCCCTTTATATATTTAAGGTAATTAGTGTTGCCTTTTTTTTAGCTGCTAAAGCTAATTCTACTTTATAAGTAAGGCTGGCTATTAGGTTTATAGCTAAACGTATTAATAAAGCTTCTATATATTATAAATTAAAGATCCCTAATTATAATCCTATTTATGCTATTTTTTTAGCGATTAATTGTTTATATCTTTTATTAATGTAAAGTAATAGTACGATA